AGGAAAGGATGTAGGGTGAGAGTTGATGTATTCATCAGGGTTTGGTTTGATTTATAAAAAGAAATTCGTTTCAGAGGCTAAAAAAAAGTTACATTTTGATAAAAAAAAAAAAAAAAAATTGTTTTTGAAAATACACTACTTGAAATGTTTGGGGTCAGTACATTAAGATTTTTTTTGTAAGTCTTCTGTTCAGCAAGTACGCATTAAATTGATCAGAAGTGACAGTATAGACTTTTACATCGTTACAAAAGAAGATTTATATTTCAAATAAGTGCTGTTTTTTAACTTTCCCTTCATCAAAGAATCCTGAAAAAATGGAACATGGTTTCCACAAAAATATTAAGCAGCACAACAGATTTCAACATTGATGATAATAAGAAATGTTTCTTGAGCACCAAATCAGAATGTCATCATGTAACACTGAAGACTGGAGTAATGGCTGCTGAAAATTCAGCTTCACCATCACAGGAATAAACTACATTTTATAATAGCAGTTATTTTAAACAGTTGAACTTATTGTAATTGTAATTATATTTCACAATATTACCATTTTACTGTGTTTTCTTTTTTTTTTCAAATACATGCAGTCTTGGTGAGCATAAGAGATTTCTTTCGAAAGTAATACAAAATGACCCTAAACCTTTGAACAGTAGTATATTTTGATTTATTTATTTTTATTTTTTAAATAATGTGATAAATCATGCGCAGTAGGACCAGGGACATTTATTAATAAATCATAAAGGGTTGATTTTGAATTCATGTTGTCATTAAGACAAAGCTACTGTGCTTTCTGAATGCAGCTTCCAATCAGAGGATATTTGTCCATTTTTTGTTATTGTTTAACAAAACCATTTTTTACGAGCTTTATTGCATTTCCACCTCCCCCGTACTGACATTTAGCACACAGACGGGCTGCCATTATTTTAGAAGCGCTGGCACAACAGCTCCAACAGTTGGGGTGTGGTGTGCGCCGAGAGGTCTGCTTGGCCACAATTGACTTGTTTACCCTCTCTAGGGAGGCTGCTGGTCTGTATGATTACTTATTATTTGGAGCCTTATTAGCTGATTGTTTGATGAGTGACCTCTACCCAATATGTACCATTCACTTGGTCTGATTGGTTGACTGGCGTGTCTTTGTGTTGATTTGCTGACCTGAAGACTGCACAGAGGGAGTGAATGCAGTCCTGATGGTTTGATTGATTTTTTGATTATACCATTGATAGGTTGTCTCTCTGCCTGTGCTGGCGGTGTGGAGATCTGTCCATGGACACAACCACAAGTCTATTTGCTGACAGATGTTGTCTCTGTCTTAAAAAAAGTGTGCTGTTATTGTGACAAGACAGGAATTTGTGTGTGCACACACATCTTGAACCGAGCCCCAGTAATTTCCATTGTTTGATTACTCTCTCTCTTTTTTTCCCCCTGAGCGCACAGATGACGAATAAGTAACAAAAAAAAGCTCTGTCTGCTTCCTTGGTGCCATTACAAATATGAACTAGTTCATTTCTATCTCCATAGAGACATTATAACTAAATGGTAGATCTGAAATAATCCACTGCAGTGAAGCCAAGTGCAATATATTTCAATTTCACGTTTCTTTAGAACTCTGCTGTTCTCACACATGACTTGGAGCACCATATATAATATCACTTCAAAAAATCTTTTTATTTTCCAGTAAAAAAAAAAAAAAAAAAAAAGAAAAAAAAAAAAAAAAAAACGAAAAAAAAAAAAAGAGGAGCAAAATTGCATGAGACATAAAGACTTGATTTCAGAGGGGGTTTTTTTCTTTCTTACCCAATTGGCAAGTAGCTTGTTTCATGTGTTTTATCATAAATGCACTGAAGTTATATACTTAAAGCAAGAAAAACAACTTAATAAAAATGGTTAAAAATAAATGTATGCTGCCATTTCAAACTTTGGCATTACTCCAGTCATTAGTCCAGTTTTCAGTGTGACATGATCCTTCAGAAATCATTCTAAAATGCTGATTTGGTGCTCAAAAACAATTTCTTCCTAGTATCAAAGTTATTTATTTTATTTTATTTTATTTTATTTTATTTATTTATTTATTTTTAAACTAATTTGTGTTTTTTTCTAGATTCTTTTATAAATACAAAAGTTCAAAAGATTACCGTTTATTTGAAATATAAATCTTTTCTAACATTATAAATGTCTTTACTGTCACTTTTGTGATCAATTGAATGTGTCCTTGCTGAATAAAACTATTAAAAATTCTTGTTGACCCCAAACTTTTGAACGGTAACATACCTCAAGAGAAATGTTCTTAATATAAGAAAACATGTTAATATCTTGCACAGATTTGCTTCTTAATAAGTACATTTTATCTTTTTGAAAAACATTTTAGATGTTTTTACTCGACAACACAAAAAATACTCTTTAAGAGAAGTGTTTTTGGCATTGATTATTGCGTTGTTGCCCTTCCTCAGGTTCAACAGGAACCTGTGAGAAATGTCATCTACTCTAAACAGCACAGCTTGTGGCCCACAGTGGCAGACTCCATCCTCGTGTTGATTGATCGTTGTCTTTAAGCATTTATCATCAGAATGTGAGCTCAACTAACAGCTCTAAATGATGTCAAATAGTCATTCCTGTAGTTAGTCGTCTCGTGTGAATGTAGGGTTCTCCAGTGCCGCCACCCCTACCCCCCCCGTCTCCTCCCAAACGACACGAGTTGGATTAGACCACTGCGCTGCCTGATCTGAGCAATGCAGTTATTTTTGGCAAAGAGAGTCCGGCCCCAGGGGCTCGAGACTGCTCACTCATGGTTGAAGGGAGGAGGATGGCTTCAGAAGAGGAGAGCTGCAGAGGGAAAAGAATCTTCTTTTTCTGCTTTTATTTTTTTTTTTCAAAGTAATGAATCAACAAGCTTTTTGCCTGCTGTTGCTTTAGTTATCAAAGCAGGGCACAACTAAAACCATGCCAGGGAATGAATGATACACAAGGACATGTCAGCTTTGAGTATTTTGTCTTTTTTTTTATCTAACAACATACAAACTACTTTCTCCATTAAAGGAATTGTTCGCCCAGAAATGAAAGTACTGTCATTATTTACTCAGCTTCATGTTATTTCACCTCGTATGACTATTTTTTCTTTCTTTCTTTCGTTGAACATAAAAGATGTTTAAAAGTATGTTCATGCTGCTCATTTCCATATACACTTTTAAAAATAAAGGTTCTTATAGTTGGCGTCAGTGGTTCAATGAAGAACCTTTAACGTACATGGAACCTTTCCATGGAACAAAAGACTCTATATAGTGGAGAAAGGTCCTTTAGAATCTTTAGAAGTTCTTTAGAATTAAAATGTTCTTCACACTAAGGAAAAACATTTTTTTGTTCACTTAAAAAGAAAAAATCTGTTCACTGAAAGTGGATGGTGACTAGAGGACATCAAGTTCCAAAAAGCACACAAATCATCATAAAAGTATTCCATGACTTATTCGCTATATATTCAAAGGCTTCTGAAGTCACATGATGAGCTTTGTGTGAGAAAATAGTCATTATCCACTGAAAATCCTACCATGACAGTTGGTCACCATTCACTTCCATTAAAAGGAAAAGAGCCCTTTCTTGCTCTGCTATAAATAGTTCTTCTAGAATTCCATGGGGAAAAAAATATACGTTTAGAATAACATGGGGCAAGTAAATGATGACAGATTTTCAGATGAACTCTCTGTTGTTTGCTTGCCTATGTGGTGTTATTACAACATCTCAGTTGCGCTGTCAAGCCCAAACATTGATAATGGTTCATAAAATATTTGATAGGATGAAAATGGAGTTCATAAGGAGGGATCCGATCAAACTGCTGTGGTAAACACATTGCTATTTATCAGTGTTTGCATAAAGTAATCTAAAGGATTTCAGGAGCGCATATCACATGATGACAGCCGCTGCGTCACTCTAGTTGTTCTGAGGGAAACCTTGTGCTCATTATTTCAGTCTTAGGTGGAGGAACACAGAGAGGTCAGGTAAGCCCGAGGCACTCTGATACATTCATGTCCATGGGTCACTCTCGCAACAGTGACATCACCTTTTCAATCTCTGCGTGACCGATTGCAGGGCATCTTGTCTTCCAGGCCCACTTCTCCTATGGCCTCTGACAGTGCCAGTGGACGGCAGTCAGTAATACTTATGAGGGCCCTTAAGGCGATGT